CCAGTTCCAGAATGCACAATTGGAAATAGATATACTTGGCAACTGGCAGAACCCCCACTTTGGGCCCCTGACAAATGGAGTAAGGGCTATTATGGTAGGAAAAGCCAAGTGGAAACCATTAGAACTGCCCCTACCTTGGAAAATTGTAAACCAAAAACAATACCTCATTACTGAAGGGATTGCAGAGATTACTGCCACCATCAAGGACTTGAAGGATGCAGGGGTGGTGATTCCCACCACATCCCCATTCAACGTGTCTGTTTGGCCTATGCAAAAAACAAGTGGATCTTGGAGAATGACAGTGGATTATTGAAAACTTAACCAGATGGTGACTCCAATTGCAGCTGCTGTTCCAGATGTGGTTTCATTGCTGGTATGCAGCTATTGATCTGTCTAATGACTTTTTATCCACATCCGTTTTGAAGGACCACCAGAAGCAGTTTGCCTACAGCTGGCAAGGTCAGCAATACACTTTCAGTTGCCTACCTCAAGGCTACATCAACTCTCCAGCCCTATGTCATAATTTAGTCCCCAGGGAACTTGATCACCTTTCTCTTCCACAAGATGTCACACAGGTCCATTTCACTGTTGGCATTATGCTGATTGGTCCAATTGAGGAAGAAGTATTGATTATTCTAGACTTATTGGTAAGACATTTGCATGTAGAGGGTGGGAAATTAACCCAACAAGAATTCAGTCACCTTCCACCTCAGTGAAATTTCTAGGGGGTCCAGCGGTGTGGGGGGTGTTGAGATATTCCTTCTAGAATGAAGGATAAATTATTGCAACCAGCCCTTCCCACAACTAAAATGGAAGCATAACGCCTGGTGGGCCTCTTTGGATTTTGGAAGAAACATATTCCTCATTTGAATGTGCTACTCTGGCCTATTTATCAAGTGACTCGAAAAGCTGCTTGTTTTGAGTGGGACCCAGAACAAGAGAAGGCTCTGCAACAAGTTCAGGCTGCTGTGTAAGCCGCTTTGCCACTTGGGTCATATGATCCAGCTTATCCAATGGTGCTTTAAGTGTCAGTGGCAGATAGAGATGCTATTTGGAGTCTTGGCAGGCCCCTATTTGTGAATCACAGCGCAGACCCGTAGGATTTTGGAGCAAGGTTCTGCTATCCTCTGCAGATTCCTACCCTCCTTTTGAGAAACAGCTTTTGACTTGTTACTGGCCCTTAGTAGAAACTGAAAGCTAAACTATGGGCCACCAAGTTATCATTTGGCCTGAGCTACCCATCATGAACTGGGCGTTGTCTGACCCACAGAGTCATAAAGTTGGATGTGCACAGCAGCACTCCATCATTAAATGGAAGTGGTATATATGAGATCGGGCCCAACAGCACCTGAAGGCATAAGTAAGTTGCATGTGGAAGTGGCCCAGATGCCCATGGTCCCCACTCCAGTCACATTACGTTCCATCTCCCAGTCTGCACCTATGGCCTCATGGGGAGTGCCTTAGGATCAGTTAACTGAGGAAGAGAAAACTTGTGCCTGGTTTACAGATGGTTCTGTGAGATATGTGGGCACCACTTGAAAGTGGACAGTGGCAGCACTGCAGCCTCTTTCTGGGACCTCCCTGAAGGACAGTGGTGAAGGGAAATCCTCCCAATGGGCAGAACTTAGAGCAGTGCACATGGTTGTTCACTTTGCTTGGAAGGAGAAATGGCCAGATGTGAGACGGTATACTAATTCTTGGGCTGTGGCCAATGGTTTGGCTAGACAGTCAGGGACTTGGAAGGAACATGATTGGAAAATTGGAGACAAGGAGGTATGGGGAAGAGCTATATGGATAGACCTCTCTGAATGGGCCAAAGAAGTGAAGATATTTGTGTCCCACATGAATGCTCACCAAAAGGAGACCTCAGCAGAGGAGGATTTTAACAATCAAGTGGATAGGATGATGTGTTCTGTGGTAACCCGT